ATAGGAGAAGGAATACACGGATATAAAGCATCTGAGCTTCAATAAAACATGGCAATGAGAATCTTAAGGGTGTTGACCCAGCCTTCTTTTAAGAAGAATGCTGATAAACACTTGCACCTTCCATTGACATTAGTGACTGAAAATCACCAGAGGCACTGCTGGGGATGAGGAGGCTAAAGGCCTATGATTGGTTTTATGTCTGTATCTAAACAACCCCCCCTGGATTACCAAGTCTGGAAGAAGCTGGAACTTTAATTTGGGATTCTCATTAAGTTTTTTTTTTTTTGTAATGTTGCCTTTCCTGTTCTCAGGACAAAGGGTTTGTATAATAGCAGATTCATCTTCTTTCATTCTAGATTGCTTATACTTTGGGAGCATCAAAAACTGGCTAAAGCTGTCATTTCAACATAAGTGCAAAAACTCTTGAAGTAGTTTCTTTATGTCAGAAATCACTTTTTAAAGTACAAAATGAATTTGAGCAAGCTAAAAAATAGATATGCCAGAGAAAAATATGTGATCTGAAGCACAGGCCATGTTGGTAAACAGCACCTGTCTCTTTGTTTCTTAGGGTTATAATTCACCCCAGGAATACATTGCAACCCAAGGACCACTGCCAGAAACTAGGAATGATTTTTGGAAAATGGTTCTCCAGCAAAAATCTCAAATTATTGTTATGCTCACTCAGTGTAATGAGAAAAGAAGGGTATGTATAAAATCTTTCACCTAGTATAAAAGAAACTACTCTGAATAAATATTTCTGGTGGGTGAATTTCTTTGCATTGTTTTCTGACCATGAGGCAGTACCGTAACCAGAACTGGAATGGCACTTCCCTCCCTTATGGCAGGCGTTTCAGGATGGTTAAGGGACTGGAGCATCATTCACATGAGGAGTGGCTGAGGGAGCTGGGACACACTTTTTTACTGTGTCAGTGACTGAGCACTGGCACTGGTTGCCCAGCGGCTGTAGACTCTTCATGCTTGGAGATTTTCAATAGCCATCTGGTCATGGTCCTGAGCAGCCTGTTCTAGGTGGCCCTGCTTGGGCAGGGGAGTTGGACAAGATGACCTCCAGAGGTCCCTTCCAACGTCAACCCTTCTGTGATTCTCTGCTTTTAAGTTTAAAAAAATAATAAAATACAAGTATTATGCTTTAGGTGTTCCTTGACATTATAATAGAAACATTTGGAATACAATTTCATATCTATATATCTATATATCTATATTTTCTTGTCCCCATGTTTTGTTTCTTTTAGACCTATTCTATTAGGAAAAGTAACAATCTACAAAGATACTATTTCCATTGTTCAGTATAGTAATGCTACCCTTCAGAAAACCGACATATAGCTTATATCCACAGTTACACAAGTAGGAATGATCAGGCTGAAAGTCATTGCAGGATACATTACCTCTTATTGTGGCATCAAGTAGATAGTGCTGTAGACATTTGTAAAACTGAGGTTCAGCACCCTTTTGATCGTGTACAATATGCATTTCCTTTTCAGGTGAAATGTGACCATTACTGGCCTTTTACGGAAGATCCTGTTGCATATGGGGACATCACAGTGGAGATGCTGTCGGAGGAGGAGCACACAGACTGGGTTTATAGGAATTTCCGAATTAGCTATGTAAGTGAAACATTTTGTGTGGCCCTGCTAGAAGAGTGGGAATAATTTGGGTCCAGCCTTTTCTTTAACTTTTGTCCGTTTCTGCCATTCCGTGGAAAACACCTAAGAGAGAGATCGATGGCCTTACCCTCACTCCACACAGGCCATTGGCTAAATCGCAAAACTTTCCCCTAAAATTGTTGTGTATGTGTATTCCTCAGCAAAATGCAAGACTGAAACAAAAGTAGTACCAGAGCTCTGGACTGCGGTGCCAATGATTAGCGACAACAAATGTGTAAACAACTTCTTTTCTGTATCTCAGGCATATCTTCTTGCTATGACCTATTCAAAACTTGAAAATACCCATGTAGAAGTTAAAAATATTTTTCAAGAGGGCAAATCTGGAATATTCGTGTATTCCTATAAAGTACTGAAACACACATGAGAGCATGCGATTTCCAAATTAAAGCTGTTGAGATTTTCAAGCATTTCTTTCCAGCTTTGTTTCCTGCACCAGCTCGTTGCCATCACCAGCTCGTGAAGGAAACGTTAGAGATATGAAGGGGACGTGATAAAAGCTGCACACTGACACATCAGCAGTGGCCCAGGCCTTTAGTCCTGCTCAGCCTTGCCTCACTGCGTTGCAGGACACGCACTGGGTGCAGGCCAGGAGTGCAAATACATGAAACACGACGTGTTGGGCTGCTGGTGTCTATTGAAAATAATGACGAGACTGCAGTTTGCAGCTCAGGTAAACTGCCCTTTCCCAAACCCAGGGCAGCACTTCAGAGTCTTTTGTACTGATCTCATTTTTTAGTATCCATTGCCTAAGAATCTGCGGTTGCCTGCAACTGGAGAAAGGTTACTGCAGTAGGGTTATTTAGCCTGACCCAGAATGGCAAAATTATAAGCACTGTTTGCCATGGGTTTTGGTGGTGACACCCCCCACCCCTCCCCATGTTTTGAGTTCCTTTAGGTCTCAAAGACAAAATGAGTTGTGTTGAGGATTGTATTTCACCTAAAGCCACTAGAGTTTTTAGCATTATCAGTGTCTTTTATAATAGTTAGTATTTTTCTAAACATTTCCTTTGCCCCGTCATGATTTTTTCTTCACTTTTGGTATGTTTTTTTCTTTGAAAATTGAAAAGAAAAACTCTTAAGAGTCCAGTCTTGATTGTTTGCCAGCAGCGTTGTTCTTGATCTGTGGCAAAACGGAAAAGGAGAGGGAATAGAATAGAGAGGGGAAGAAAGCCTAAACTTGAAAATTGCAACAGTTCTTGATCTAAAAGCAAAATAAAATTGAACTACTGTGAGGAAAAAAAGCAAAAAACAAATCCCAAATCCAGAAACAAGAGTTCATGCCCTTTGATAACGGTGGCCTCATACTCCCTCCCCTTTTTAATCAGACAGCATGTAAATTCTTTGCCACTTCTTTGGCTGACTTTTTCTTTCTTGGGCTGTATTTGGGGGAAAAAAACCACCACAAAAATGACAAAAACCCCTCGGTCTGACTGAGCGTGACTGCACTGTTAAAACTCCTGTGAGTACGCTGCTGTTCTGCTTCTCCCATTAGGCTGATGAGGTGCAAGACGTGATGCATTTTAACTACACTGCCTGGCCAGATCATGGTGTCCCCACGACCAACGCTGCCGAAAGCATCCTCCAGTTTGTACAGATGGTCAGGCAGAAATCAGCAAAGAGTAAAGGCCCTGTGATCATACACTGCAGGTAAATGCTTCAAGGAACTGGAGAAGTAAAGGGTGAAACTTGTTAAATAGGCTGGGAAATGGTTGGAAGGAGTGATTTTGGCGTCCTGCTCACCTGTTGGCCGGACATGGTTCTCTCTGATGTTCAGGGTAGAGGATTAGTTCCCCGCTTTGGCTACAGTAGGGCTGGGATTTCAGCCTGCAGGCACAGATACCAAAGCATTTATTTCTGGAGGAGAGTCACCTCTTTGGATGTGACTTCATGGAGGCGCAGCAGGCGATTCTGATTTACATCAGGAGCCTGCCCCTGATCTCTCATTTCCACACCTTCACGATACCAACGGTGTGGTCCGGCCAGCAGCCTGCCACAACGTGCAGCTCCCTTGCAGATGTGCATCTCTGCAGGTCGTCCTCCTCTGGTCATGTGGCTTTCGGTACGTTCAGGAGGTGACATGAAGAGCGCTATCCTGTGCTAGCAGTAATAACCAGTATCCCATGATAACAGTTATATGGTTTTTCCCTTTTTTGTGGAGGAAAGTTGTTTTATATACTGTCAGATTTCTCTCTTGTGCATCATCTGGCCTTTTATTAAGATGCTGACTTACTTGGCCTTTCTGGGGGCAGCTGCCATGTTAGTGATGATATCATACCAGATTGGTTCCTGATGCAATTCTCTCAGCTGACTTCAAACCTCTTTGTGGCTCCTTGTGCAAGAGCTACTCGCAACAGATTTCTCAGAAATACGTAAATAGATGTTTTGCAATGGATAAATACATGTACCTTATGGTGACATACTCATAATGGAAGTCAAGGCTTGATGAGATTAATCTCAGCCAACCCAAAGGCAGCAGTTATGTTGCTGCACAATGTGTCAGCACCCTCCAGCACTGTCTTTCCTGGTGCTGATGTGATGGTCAGCACTGACTCTCTCTTGCCACCACTTTGCATGCTTTTGAGAGCTCCTTCCCAGAAAACTGTCTTTTATGGCAATATTACTGCTAGTTTCCAGATAAGGCACTTAGTGTTCTACTGGCATGCAGAACAACAACAGCATTTGTAAAAGCAGCAAATCATGCAGGCCTGCTGTGTAACTTAATGGAGAAATTCATAGGGGATATTGTTCCAGGAGTCCTAGTATCAAGAAAGGTGCTAGTAAGCCAGGGAAGAGATTTATATGTAGAGTTGTGAAATCAAACCCCTTATATACCACTTACTTATTCTGGGAAGGAATAGAAGCAGGTCTCAGAGAGCTGGGTAACAACTGTAGTATTTTCTTTTTAATTAGGATGCTTCTAGCAGCAGACAGAGAGATTTTCAGATAGCATTTTTAGAGTATACTGTATGTCTTAGACCACATAGTTTAAAGGCAGTGGAAGAGAGGGAGAAAGAATGTATAGATCGGCTCCTACAGCAGTCATTCTCAAACGTTAAAGAAGGCATAGAACTGACATCAGTACAACTTCTCCATTTGTTATTTATGAATTTATCAGTTACTGAATCTGTCAAATAAGTAAATCAAAAGTTTGTGGCATGCATCTCATTTGAGATACTGGCATTTTCATTAAACACAAGCAAAAATACCACAATTGTTTTGTGACAGTTATGTTGAAATGTGTTGAGATGGACTGTTCAGCTTCATGGCAAATACTTTCAAGGCTTTTCTGAACAATACCACAAGAAAGCAGAAAGAATGTTTGCTAAGACACACCTGTCCATCCTTAGGAGTAGGTATGGAACTCTATAAAACCTCTAAAGCCACACCAATAATTAAATCAGGCTTAAACGTTACATGTGAAATCACAAGGCAAAGAAACATACGCACATAAGAATCTCTAAATCAAAACAGAATGTCTTTTTCCTAGTCACTAAGGGGGGGGATGAAGATTTGTCAGACAAGTCATTGCTGACTGTTTCTATCTCATGGTCCCAAGGCAGAAGTCTTGGAGTATGGACTCTTCTGGGTGTCCTTGTCCTTTGAGCTGCAGCAGTGCAGTGCCTTTGCAAAGCCAAGAGCTTTGCAGCAGGGAGAGCTGTGGAACTGATCTGTGCAGGTTCAACCCCAGATGCCTCTGCGCAGCCATCACTGCCAAGCGGGTGTCTGCAGTTGCGGCGACAGCCCCTGTGGTTAGAGATGTCCCATGAAGTCTTTAAGGGGAAGAGTGAAGATGGACAGAGCAGACAGCGATGGGTGGGTGAGGTTGTGCATGCACATCCTGCATATGAGTGCATGAAGAGGAATGTGGGAAGGTGAAATAATTGCAGAGCCATCTCTCCATGGAAGGGTTGCACAGCATTAAATCCTACAGATGAACCAGCCTGTCTGGCCTCAGATTAGCTACGTCTGATTACCGCGGCTGCAGGACCCCAGCTTTTTTCAGTACAACTGCTTTTCCTGTGTGTCCCCATCAGAAAAGCCTCAAATGAGATGCGTGTCTGTGTGTGTTGCAGTGCTGGAGTGGGAAGAACAGGCACCTTCATAGCCCTGGATCGGCTCTTACAGCACATCCGTGATCACGAGTTCGTAGATATATTGGGCCTGGTGTCTGACATGCGGTCCTACAGAATGTCCATGGTGCAGACAGAGGTAAGCTCAGTTCACTGCAACGTTGTCTCATCATATCTGTTCCATACATCTCTGCAGCATGTTTGTGTCTAACTGTTGTCCCACCTGAACACTTGACAAAATAGCCAGGAATAGACAGAATTAAATTTTCATCTTCATTGTAATATTGTCGTGTTATTAGTCTGATGCATAGGTGGGTCTGATAATATACAGTCTCACTGATGTCTTCCAGAGGGGATGAGTTATTCTTACCTTCTATGAAATTAATATGCAAAAAATGCATTAGAAGAGATGAACATACAGAATTTTCAAACCATTTTGAAAAGAATTGGGCTTGCTGAGTGCATTAATGGCTCATGAAATGATATCAGTATCAGACAGCCAGTCACACTTGTTCAAGAGGGTGTCATCTGGCGAAGCACAGGAACTAGTTACACAATGATAACAAAATAAAAAGCGTAACAGACAAAGGGATTGTGAGTCTGCCAGACACCCTCCTTGCCCCTCACCCTGCCCAAGTATCTGCTGGGTGGTTCTTTTTCTGTTTTTAAGGCAAATGTCAGGAGAATAGTCATGTTGTCATGGAAAAAAAACACAAACTCTTTTTCCAAAGCAGAAGCTTTTATGCATCTGAAACCTTCCCAGATCCTCTACTAGTGAGGGAAAGATTTCACGCCTGTTGTACTCTTCACTGGTTAGATATAGTATAAGCCAGCAACCTCCATACAGATGTAAGTGCCACCATTGCCGTTTGCAGGCTGGGTCTGGCAGATAATTTGTTGCCAAGTATTGTTGAACCCAGAGCAAAACAAAGAAGACAGGAGGGAGAGAAGAGGAGGAGGAGGAAAACCTGCAGTGACAACAACTAGCATCTAGAAATGAAAAAAGGTCATTATTCTCAGACCGCTCTCAGTCATTCCTATCAAACTACCACTTTTCATCACAATTCACTATATTAATGCAAAGGCGGATCTTTATGTAAACAGCAGAGAAACAAATCCTGATGATTGATTTCAGCTGCAGCTGCACTACCCCGCAGAGGTGATGTGGGTTTGGGTTTTTTTTTTTCCGTGTACAAGCTCATTGCCTGCCTGGGGCTGATGTCAGGGGCTGGGCTTTGGTGGTCGTCGAGCTCCTGCTGCTCCAGGCAATGGCCAAGCCTGGCCACAGAGGTCACTAGGTGGCCCTGGCACTCAGGTGCTGCACTGAAAAGGCTTTCCTTACCAAGCCCTGAAATGAGACACAGCTCACCGGGGTTCCTCGTACAATAGAACTTGTCAGCGTTTCGCTGAGCAGTTTAAAAACCCAAATGGCACGGACCCAAAAAGGGGGTTAGGTTGGAGAATAACCTGAACTGAAACCAGTCACTCCAGATTAGTGGGTGTGAGGAAATCCAGGCATTTCTGTGCTCTGAAACATGCTTCCACCTCCTATTGATATCTGCTCACCACAGCAGAGCACTGGGGACAGGGGCTGAAATCCAGACTCAGGTTTTGGGACAGCTGTTTTTGCTTGAGGTCCATTTGCTCCCTGTGCCTAGTGCACATAGACCTTAGTCTAAGGATTTGTCAGGGTTTGCCTTCTCTCTCTTTGAAATCTAAAAGTCATCAATTAAGGTTATTCCAAATAGAATTACAGTGTTTAATCTGCATGATGACAATGCTGAGAAAAGCCAGTCCCTAACCAAAACCAAAACCAAAGATAATCACAGTCTTGTTGCACATAAACCTGTCCGCAGACCCAACAGTGCATGTGATCGACCCGACTTACAGCATCATTTGCACAGAGGTTGATAACTCCCCAAATAATTAACTGCTCTGTGAACAAAATCAGGTTTCAGCTTTTTATTGGCAAAGAAGTCAAGCACTAAGGAACATGAAGTTTATTAAAATATTTCAGGTGCTTGTGTGGCAGGGATGCAGTTTGTTGCACATAAAGCCTTCAGGTACCTTGCTGGGAATTAATTCATTTTCAGGCAATATAAAGTAGACTCACTTTGGTTTAGATGCAACTGTTCCGTTCTTGTTCCGTTCTTGTTCCAAACTCCCATCATCATTCAGGTTATTAATAAGTGATTATGATGCCAGGGCAGGTCAGGTGGGTTTTGTGCTTCCCCAGCTGCTGTCCGTAACAATTGTGGGCAGTTATTTTGGGAACAGGCACCTCACACACAAGAGAGAGAGATGGAAAAGCTGTGCAGGCTGCTACTGTGACCTATCAAACTGTTTCACTCTTTGGG